ATATTAAATTAAGCAAAATACATAAATTCAAATATAAATTTTAAAAATGTAATTAAAAAATTTATATATGGGGGTGGGAAGGTTGGGGGGTAGATTGAAGTCACCAGTTGAATGGCGTTAGATGATTCAATATTTAAGAAGAGTGCACACTGACCAACAGTTAGCATACATGCTAACATAACATTGAAAATGCCATAGATGGCTAACAACATTAGCATAATGTTCAATCAATGTAAATATATACACACTGAATGTTAAAACAGAAAGCTTTGTGTTAAGTAGGCCTGTCACCATAACTAATTTTACTGGACGACAAATTGTTTCATAAAATCTAGTGATAAACACTAATGTTGTGTGAGATCAGTTTAATGAATGTAATGGTACAGGGTGGTCTCACCTCTCTCTTCATGTCGTCAGGACAGTGGGCGGTGGCTCTGGACAGGAAGGACGGCAGGTACGTGTGCAGCGTGCTCTCTGGTTTGGCTCCGAATGCCAGGACCTTCAGCCGAGGATACAAACACCTGAGCTGCTCCTGCAAACTGCAAACACAATTATTTAYGACAGAAAACACACACTTTTCTGTCAGATCGTCTGAAAAACTGACAAAGACAGAAACATTTCCAGGATCAGTTTTATCCCAGTTGTTTCTGCACAGGCAGGGCAGTGTGAATCAGTTTATAACATTTACCTCGGTGACAGGGCRTTCTTTGGCATAAAGGCAAAGTCCAGCAGAGGAAAGAACTCTTTAGGACCCATGATGCCAAATCCTTTTGTTAGGTTTGTATGAAGGCTAGAAAAAATTAAATAAAAGACYGTCAAGAACTTAAAACATCTACATTTACCACCTAACCACAGAAAACCTGTTAACATCACACATTTTAATCCTGTAGAGATAATAAATATAATACAGTAAATAAAAACGAGTTGTTTCTGGTGATGTCAGTTATTTTTCAGGCAGACTTACAGCAGAAGTCTCTCTAAATAGGCGATGGCGTATGAAGACAAGGACTTGATTCCCAGCACAGGAAGCATGATTCCCAGCCACACTGGAAAGAAAACTAAAGTCAGTCATGTTGTAGAAGACTTTATTTTTTAATTCAGTCTGACAGAACTTTGTTCTGCCTTTTAGACACAAACAGGATTTAAATCACTTTATTTTCCACATGAAGTTTGTTATGATCCACGAACATTAAGCAGCCCACAGACTCACATTTATACTGACTGGACAAAATAAGGACATTAATATTTGTTTGGACCTTTAGCTTTGATTACAGCACACATTGTTTCAATCAGTTTCTGCAGTGTCAGCAGATTTATTTCCATCAGTGTTGCACTGGTTTTTCACCAAGATCTTCATTAATGATGGTGAGTCTGACCTTCTGCAGCACATCCCAAACATTCGCACTGGACTCTGTGGAGCCAGTCCATGTGTGGAAATCATGCTCCCTGAACCACACTTTCACAACAAGAGCCTGAACCACTCTATCACAACAAGAGCCTGAACCACTCTATCACAACGAGAGCCTGAACCACTCTATCACAACGAGAGCCTGAACCACACTTTCACAACAAGAGCCTGAACCACTCTTTCACATTAAGAGCCCCACGAATCCAGGGGAAAATGCACTGCTGAAATAACCTGGTGTACACTCCAGGTCTTAAAGCTCAGTTCTGATTAGTTTTTATCTGATTGTTGGTGTGTTTGGTGTGTTGGTGTGGTTGGTGTGGTTGGTGCGTTTAGTGTGGTTGGTGTGTTTGGTTCGTTGGTGCGTTTAGTGTGGTTGGTGTGTTTGGTTCGTTGGTGCGTTTAGTGTGGTTGGTGTGTTTGGTTCGTTGGTGCGTTTAGTGTGTTTGGTGTGTTGGGTTGGTTGGTGTGTTTGGTGTGTTGGTGTGTTGGTGTGTTTGGTGCACTGGTGTGTTTGGTGTGTTGGGTGTGTTGGTGTGTTGGGTGTGTTGGTGTGTTGGGTGTGTTGGTGTGTTGGGTGTGTTGGTGTGTTGGGTGTGTTTGGTGCATTGGTGCGTTGGGTGTGTTGGTGTGTTTAGTGTGTTGGTGTGTTGGTGTGTTGGTGTGTTGGTGTGTTTGGTGTGTTGGTGTGTTGGTGTGTTTGGTGTGTTGGTGTGTTG